ACCAAACCTCTTACAAAAAAAAACCCCAAAAAAACCATAACCCCACTTGATATAATTTAATTTACTCTTCCCAAGACTGTATTACCTACCAGACAGTCCCTTAACTCCTTCTGGAAATTTGGCATGAAATCAGCATTTTCTCTGACACAGCTCAGCCCTGTGCTTTGCAGGGCATACTATGCATGCCATACCAAGCTCTCTCCTCTGCTTTCCCATCATCCAAAAAGTCTCAAAAGTGTTACTTATTAGACCTGGACATTATGGTAGGTAACTCTTTGAAGGCCTGTGCTCAGTATTGGCAGGCCATGCTGATTTAAAAGCACTTGCCTTTTCAAAAATATCCTCTAACAATTTCCTACCACTTTTAGTCTGATTTCACCTTCTGTAGCTGGCTTTACATTTTTATTATTTATGAGCCTCGGTGATTTTTTATAAAGTAAATGCAGTAAAAGTAGAGATCTGTTAGGTTTTTGTCTTTGTAAGATTGTTTCCTGTTATGGGCTGAATTGTGTCCTCCCCATCTTCCCAATTCATGTGTTGAAATCCTACCGTCTAGTACCTCAGAATGTGACTATTTTTGGAGATAGGGCCTTTGAAGAGGTGTTTAAGATAAAATGAGGTTCTATGGGTGGGCCCTAGTCCAACATGACTGATTCTGTGTAAGAGATTAAGGTACAGACACACACACACACACACACACACACACACACACACACACAGGGAATACCATGTGAAGACACACAGCTAAAAGAGAGTCACCTGCAACCCAAGAAGAAAGGCTCCAGAAATTAAAACCAACTCTGCCAACACCTCGATCTTAGATTTCTAACCTCTAGAACTATGAGGTATTTGTTAGGATAGCCCTAGCAAACTAATGCATTTACTGTCAATTTTGTTCTTTTTTCCTAATGAACATTGATCATGCCTTTAATGTTCCTAGATTATACCAGAAAAGATACGGGCAGCATGTTGTGGGCCACAAGGAAGGGAAATGATCTCATGTAGCTTCTGCATGCAGCAGAGTGACCAGAAATTTCTGGCATTAACAGTGCCATTCCAGTAACAATGACCTTAAACCATCACCTGATGGATGATTGGTTTGCATGTGACTTTTCTGAACAGTAAGTTTTATAGAATGAGTTACAGAGTGCTGCCCTGGGGCACAGATCTGAATCAGGAAGCTCAGAGGACCATGTTTGTAACACATGTTTGGCCCAGAGAGTGCTTTTTTTTTTTTTTAAGCCACATAAAAATAGAAATTTCTTACTGCTCTTAAAATTTTGGAATGTTTATCCTACTTCTCTGTTGACAAAACTGAGCAAAACTGAGCTTCCTCCTCAGTTGGATGCTACTTTGTGTGGAGTGCTGCAGCTATCTCACCCCTCCCTACACTGGTCACTTCAGCCTGTCAGCTTTACTTATTGCCCGAGCTGCCTGGTCCAGATAACGGAAATAAACAGATTAGTGACTCCTAGATGATGGATTCTGAAGATCCTTATTGAAAAAGGTGTTCAGAGGTGAAAAGTATTTGAGAAGCTCAACAGCCTTTTTAATATATTTACTTGCAGATTTTCTATGTGCATTAATAGATTGAAAGACCTGAGAAGTTCTACAATAGAGAAATCCATTTAATTTTGGTCTGCAGCATTTCCCATTCCTATTTTACTAGAAACTCCCATTTCTTTGATTAACATTTATTTGTCATCCTTCTGTGGAACACACTTTGGGAAATGCTGAAATGGATTCTTAAAATCTGGTCCTATATGAAGGCACAAGAATGAAGTGGAAAATTAGAATTCTATTAACTACTGAGTAATTTGTGTATTCATAAAAGAATACTTGAGTACATATGAAAATGTAAAGTTGCCTTATAAAGGAGCAATATTATTTAGTGGGACTTCCCTTGTGGCTCAGCAGTAAAGAATCCGCCTGCCAATGTAGGAGACGTGGGTTCAAATCCCTGGATCTGGAGGATCTGTGGAGAAGGGAATGGCAGCCCACTCGTGTTCTTGCCTGGAGAATCCCATGGACAGACGAGGCTGGTGGGCTACAGTCCATGGGGTCGCAAAGAGTCAGACGTGACTTACCAACTAAACAGCAGCAACATTATTTTTGTGATGCTATTTAATGCATCTAGGAAATCTGCATAAATGACCACAAGCCACCAAATGCACAACCAGTGTTATCTAACATGTGCGACAGTCTTTAGAAACTAATGTTTTGCTCATTGTGAAAAGGAGGTTTCAGCTTTGAGATTCCAATTACTTTTGTTGTGCTCCAGTGTCTTGGTTATTGCCAGGATGAATGCATCACTCTCCTCATATTTCAGGTTAATGATCTGATTGGACTGTAAACATTTTGTTAGACAAAACTTACACCCATTATACTTGCAGTCATTTAAAACAAGGAATATGTGCAAATGAACCCAGATATCCTTCTGTATTAGCTATCTTATTAGAGTAATAATGTGCTAATCCTGATTTGCATGTTCAACTAAATGATTGCAAACAGTTTTTGACACGTAAATTCATGGCTGTTCTACGTGCTTCCACTGAGTTTGGTGAAAACGAATTGGTCTATTTGAGTTATCCTCCTTTGATTTCTCCAAGAAAATCAATATAATAAAGTAATTCTTTCCTGCCATCCTCTTCTTTGCTAAGCTCTTCTGAGAACAGTCAGAAGGTGTTTTTCCTTCAATTATTTCAGGCTTGTTTGCATTAAATCCTTTCCAACAGGCGCCAGTAAATGTGTTCTCTTAATAAGGATGTCTCCCTTTGAAATAAGCTAAATAAAATTTTACATTTAAGGTGAGTAAGAACCAGTTATGGAGAAAATTGCTCAATATCTGTTCTATTCTAATTCCTTTTTCCATGCAAAGCATGCTGCAGCTCTGTATTGAGGACCAAGTGTGATGATATGACATGCATAATTCATGCTTCTGGCCTTCTACACACACTTATTTTTTTCATCAGAATTCCACATATTTAGACAAGGTCAAAGGTTTTTCTTTATGGATATCAATTAAACTTATTTCTAAGGAATATGACATAAAATATGTGGGTATTTTATTCTTCAGAAGAATGCTTGATTGTGGTAGTCTCACAATACAAGATTTTTCCTGTTGATAGTTTAGATTTTGTTTACTTTGTGAGTGTTTGGTTTTGTTGGATGGTAGGATCCCATTATTTAAGTGGCTGACGTCCTGGTTTGTATAGGTGTTAGAATGAAAGCTCCTGTATTTGTTAGGAATTAAGGGACGATCACACCACTCAGTTCCCAAAGAGTTCATCATTTTGTGGAATTTCTTATATGGTTCACTTTGCTAAAAATGGCACTTTATTTTTATGTTTAATTAATTTTTATTGGGTTATAGTTGATTTACAATGTTGTGTTAGTTTCTGTTATATCATTTAATGTATATTTGTAGTTTTATATATATATATATATATGCATACACACACACACACACACACACACACACACACACACACACACTCTTTTTAGGATTCTTTTCCCATATAGATCATTACAGAGTATTGAGCAGAGTTCCCTGTACTATACAGTAGGTCTTCATTAGTAATCTATTTTATATACAGTAATATGTATGTGTCGATCCCAATCTCCCAGTTTATCCCTCCTCTACCTTCCTCCTTGGTTAACCATCAGTTTGATTTCTACATCTATGACTCTGTTTTTATGTTTTGTAAGTAAGTTCATTGTTCAAAAAAAATGGTACTTTAATTATAAGAAGAGCACATCAAAATCTTCCACTATGTAAAGTCTGTTTCCTATTCTCCTTTTTCAGCTCTGTTCTCTTAATCCTGTTATAGCTTTTCATACCTCATTAAAGTCTTTTCCATCTGGATGGCCACAGTCATTTCCAACTCAGTATGTCTATAACTAAATCTATCGCCTTCCTCCCTAAGTCAGTTTCCACCAAGTAATGAGTGGCACAAGCCGGAACCCTGAGTGCCATCTTCAATTCCTCACTCTTATCTGCTTGAAACATCCAGACAACAGCCAAGTCCTGTCAATTCTGTTTTCTCAATATCCGTTGAGTCTGTCCTCTTCTACTTAGTTATTTCTCATTGGCACTTCCCAGCCCAAGATGCCATACTTGTTTTCCTGAATTACTTTTACTTCCCCCTCACACATGTGTGCATGGCTCCTGTGCCCAAACACCCTGAAACATCTAAGCCTGCTTGTCAAAGTAGTCACAGGGGACTGCAGAGAACTCCTTGTCTGGTATGTTCCCCATCCAACCTTCTCCATTAATTACATTTATTGAGTGTCTGCTATGGGGAGTGGCTATTAGGGGCTATGAAGAATCTAAGAAGAAGTTATGATCTTTGTCTACAGATAATCTCGATAATTTAGTCAATTTTTCTAGAGGGTGCTTGGGGGTGGGATGCAGTGAAAATCACTGATTATGTTTTAGCCACTGTGGCAGTATTTTTGCATTAATATTCTTGTTGGAAAAAAAAAATCAAAGGGAGCCTATGGCCTTTAAAATGTTCTTAATTTGCTACCTACTACTGCTCAGTAATACTCTCAAGAATAAATTTTAATCTTTGAGATTAGGATTTCAACAGTGAGGGTAGCATCTGACTTCAAGGAACATCCAAAGGTCAGCACCGTACTCAGATTGCTTCATTTCTGTTCTGGTGATCTGGGGGTTATAACTCCCTGCCTCATTCTGTTTCCTCCTCAAGATCACTCAGGTATAGCTATATCAGGGGGAGGAGGATTTGGGGGTCACTTTGTATAATTCATTCCTCCCTGAGATACCTTCTGAATAACAATGGGGTTTCCTGAGGATCCTGGACACATAATGTACACCGTCAGCCTTTAATATATACCATTTCTTCCAGATGGTTTCTGAGTTGTCAGAGGAAGTTTTATATCTACAGAGTTGTCAGCCTCTCCATCCCTTCCCCTGCATTTTGACACCCGTGGCCCCCTCCCTGTCTGTTCTGTGCTCAGGATTCCGGGAGTGGAGCGGCACTGTTGCCGTTAAACGGGAGCAGATAACTCAGATCAAATCTCCGTGGTAAATCGTCTTCTCAGCATCTGGTGCTGTTCCTTTAATGAAGCCTTTTTCTCACCATGATGTGAATCCATTAGACACCAAGAAACTGGAGTATGTAAAAGATTCTGTTTATCTGGCCCTTCTCAAAGGTACTGTCTGTCATCATAGATGTCTGCAATAAATATAGCAACAGCATCACAGAATGTGTGAAGCGATTAGATTTACGAGGTACATAAACTGCAAAGCTTCTAATAACCATAATTCCTAACTTCAATCATAATACCTGTATTAGTGTCATGTTTTCCAGAGGACTTTATGTTTCTAAAAATATCTTAATTGTGGTTACCATATTTACCCTGTAATTTCTTTAATTTAAAAGTGAAAGGGTTCTCCCAGAGATGAAGCCAGAGGAAACCGCCCACCCTTCCGTATTGTTTATGTGGGCAGTGGGGCAAGATGGATGGCCCATCTTGCATGTTTTGCAATTAAATTAGATGAATCTCCTTGGAAAAAAAGAGAATCCACACTAATAACGAACAGCTGATGACAAAATCAAATGTAGGGGTGGGGAATAAAGGGTGAGATCTTAGTCTTCGTCCCCACTCTCCTACCCCCACCCCTGATTCAAGGGAAAATCTGTCTGAATGCTTTTAACATGCTCTCCTTCTAATCATTTGCCATTACTTGAAAAACCTTTGAAAGGATGCTAACTATCAGTCTGTTAATATTTTCCTTTCGACCCAGGCCTGAGATACAAGTTCAGGTGCTTGAGACAAGATTCTTGGCCTGTGAAGTCTCTCTTTGACTTTTAAGGATAAAGGAAGACAGACCCTCTTGGGTTTGCTTAGAATATACACACACACAGTTTTTTAGCAATTTCTGAACTCAAGCAGAAAAGACGTCTTTTCATTATTCCATTCAAAACTTGGTCATTTGGTCTTGCTCTTCACAGTGCAATTCTTTCAAGTCCACTTCAAGGATTGACTGAGTGCAATGGCTATTTTTACATCTTTGCAGAATCTGGCAGATTTGAAGGACACCCCAGATGTAGCTGCTGAAAGATGATGTCATACCTGTATCAATGAGTTTAAGACTGACAGGTGACCTGGTGGACCTTGGCCAGAGACAGGGGGACTTGCCTAGTGGATTTAAAAGAAAATATTTTTCTGAATAGAGACAGAATATAAGCTTATCTTGTAACATTCAAATAATAGAGATGTATAAATACATAATTTCACTCTCTAAATATAACCACTGTTAACAGCTTGATGTATATCATTTCAGGCTCTTTCCTAGTAATATCCAAATATGTTGTTATTTTACATAAATGGAATAGCACTATACATGCTGTTTTATGACTGTCTTTTAATTTAATAATATACCATGGATACTTCTCTGGGGAAGTGAATACACATCTGTCTCAATCATTTTTAACTCTTTTTTCTGGCATTTCAGAGCATAGTTGGATCATAATTTATTTACTGTTCCCTTTCTGGTGAGTATTGAAATGGCCTTCAATTTTTTGCTCTTACAAATAATGTTTCCAAGAACATCTTGGTCCATGTATCTTTAGACGCCAATGAGAGTATTTCTGCAGGATAAATCCCTAAAAGTGAAATTAAAATATTTACAGTTATTATCAAATTTATATATATTCACATAGGTTAGAAAGTTGTTTTAAAATTGTGTATTTGTTTCTAGTTTTACCAGTTAATATATGAAAGTGACTGCTTCTCCATACTCCAACATGGGAATTAGTCCTTTCATTTAAGTTTAAGCTCTCCTTTGCTCTTTGCTAGGTGCTCAGATAAAACTATTTCATTGTTTTAATTTGCTATTCCTTGGATTAATAATGATATGAATGATCTTTTTATATAGGTATACATATTCTTTATTCATATCTTTTACTATATTCTATCAGGGTTTTCCTTTTTTCCTTATTAAATCATAGCTTCTTATTATATAATATGTTCACTATAGAAGATGGAAATAATTGTCTAAGTGTTTTATTTATTTCTTAATCCTATTTATGGTGTGCTCTATCAATAGACACTTTATGTTTTTTGATAAAATCTGTGAATTTTATCCTTTATGATTTTTTACATTTGTGTCCTGATAAGGAAGGTATCTTCTATCTTAAGATGATAAATATGCTATCCTATATTTACTTCTAGTAATTATGTGGTTTTTAAAATATGTTGAAAATTCTAATAAATCATTTGTTTATAAGAATAAAATAGATAAGAATGGAACCTATTGTTTCTCTTCAAATTGTTAGTAATAGCTTTTACACTATTTAATGAGTCAGCCCTCTTTGCTGAATTTAAATGCTATACTTAACAGTTACTAAACATGCATATATTCATAGATTCGTTTCTACATTCTCTGTTCCATTCTCTCCATACCAATACCATGTTGTTTTAGTTATAGTTCCCTTAACATTTATTTGAATCTGGTAGGACAAATTCCCCTCTTATTATATCTTATTTTCGAAAATTTCCCAGGTGTCCTAAGTGTTTACTCTTTCAGATTAACTTCATTATCCATTTGTAAGGGTTGACTAAAATTGAAATTTTTGAAATTTTATTAATATACAGTTTGCTTTAGGAATTGCCATTTTCTTCTAAGGGCATTACTCTGTGTTCTCTTACTGAGTTGTGACTAACTGCTGTCCACAGATGTGTGTGTGTGAAGCTGGTAGACACACACACAGATGTGTGTGTGTGTAGGCTAAAAATGTGGGTTTTGAGAAAGGTCATATTATGATTGGCTAGAAAATGACAGATAAGTCAAACACGAGTGATTTGGGAGAATGGAAAAGGGTATAGATGGAAGGGGATTTCCCTACTGGCTCAGATGGTAAAGAATCTACCTGCAATGCAGGAGATCCAGGTTTGAGCCCTGAGTCAAGAAGATCCCCTGGAGGGCAGGACAACCCACTCCAATATTCTTGCCTGAAGAATCCCATCGACAGAGGAGCCTGGAAGGGTCCATGGGGTCGCAAAGAGTCAGACACGACTGAGTGACTAAGCAGACACACACATAGATGGAAGGAGGGAAGTCCAGAGTAAGTACATGATGACGAGTATAGAGGGTGAAAAGTGAGAAGGATGGACTGAAGGCAGGATGAGAAACATTGAATTTTGGCTGCCTGGGCAGGGAAGTCTAGGGGGCTGGAGTAGATTCCACAGTCTCCTTCCTGTTGGGCCAGGCTGCATGGAACTTGCTGAGGGCTGGCCAAGTGACTGTGAGCATGAAAGCCAGAGTGAGGGTGGGCCTGGGGACACAGAGGTGAACATGGTGTCCTTTTGCCTGTGGTCTGAGTGCTTGGCTAGGAAGAATGTTGAGTTCACTCATCACAGGGGGAAATGAGAGTAAACAGTAAAGTGAGTAAAGTGGGCAAGTAAGAGGACCCAGATCAGAACCCAGAGTAGGAGCTGGATAAAGCTCTGCCCAGGGACACAGGCCTGGTGCAAATGGATCCAGCTGGAACACTCCAGTCAGGAGCTTGGTTAGGAGCATTTCTGATTGTGGGGACCTTGTGAAGTCCTCCTGTCTATCCCCCGTACTTCCTACTCCCCATTTTCTGGGGCCTGCTATGGGGCTACACTTGTGCAGCATAACTTGTCCAGTCTAGCTGGACCTGATCTGTGCAATGAACACTTGACCAAAGCTGGGCCACGTACTCACTTCCTAAGGAGAGTTGGCGTTGACACATAGGAAACAGATGGATCTTTCTTGAAGCACCTGCATTTTCAGTAGATAAATCTCTGAAGCTTTTGGTGGCTGTGCTTCAGCATGAAGACTGAGACATTGGGAAAAGCAATCTATTTTGTAGAAGAATAAAACATATTCAAGAGAGAGCAGAGACCAATTTTTCCAGCTTATTTTTGAGACCAAGTTGCATTCTGTACTTTGAACAAGATGAGATATCCTGAATCACCTCTTTCATAGAAAAGCTGGCTAGATTGCATTTATGTTACATAGAGTCCTAGAGGTCTTAAATAATACAGGCACTAAGGAAGCTGGGCTGGTGAAGTCATGAATTTCATTGTTAATAAAAAGCCATGGTCTAAATTAAAGGACTGAAACATCATTGAGGAAATTCCAGAAAGCAAGCATTCAGCAGGTTAGATCTAGAAATGGCACTTAGGATTTTGCAGTCAAGTAGGCCAGTCTTGGCAGGAGGGGATGGGGTGCAAAGAGCACTGGGCAGAGAAGGAGATAGTCAAGCCCAAGACCATGGAACATTAACCTTGAGTTAACCTTGGACCAATTCTGGTCCAACCAGAATTGTTGGACCTCTCTTGATAAAATAGGGCAGTTGTGCCTGCTCTATGGTCCTCGCCAGGAATTTTTTGAGATGTGTGGCAAGGACCAGGTGCACCCAGTGGATTGTATAATACTGTTTCCATGCAAATCATTGTTGTAGCCACCTTGCAGGACCTGTGTTATAATGTGTCACTCTCTGGGGTCAAGTGCTTATAAGCGCAGTAGCTGACTGATCTGTGCTCATGGGATAATTGGAAGGAGAATAAGAGGTGGAGGGCGAACCAGGGGCACGACAACTCCAGGACGTGCCATCCTTACTCTAGTTAGTGGGACCAGTGCCCAGTGGGACACCATGTGGAACACCTTGTGAATGAGGCCCCTCAGAGTTGTGTGATGTGAAGGTCCTAGTCCCTGGGTCACATCTAAAGAGAATGCCCTCTCGTGCTGGGAGTGCTGGCTGGGAAAGGGACCAGTGGTTAAATATAAAAACAACTCCCAACTGGAGGAATTCCCCTGGCAGCTTCATCACAGCTGTGTTGTCCAAACCTTTGGGGAAAGGCTGAAAACATTAGGAAAAGCATGGGTCTGGCTGGTACTCGAAGCCATGCACCCCATAAACTGTGTCAGCACCCCATAAACATGCCACTTTTAATGACAAGTACATGTCTCTGTTCACCACCATCATTTATTCTACTGCAAAATCTCCCGGAACTTTTGTTTCCAGAATTCCTTTTATCTTAACCATTAAACCAGCCTTGGGGAGATATTGAGGTCAGTGGTCCTGGACCTGAGTCATATCTCCCCTGACCTCACCTGAGCAGTAACCTAAATAGTGACAAAGGCTGTGGAATGATGCTAACAGCCTCACAGAGGCTCTCTGACCAGGCTGGCATATGTGGAAACCTGGACCCATCAGCTATTCCAGAATGGTTTGTGAATGTTTGCCCTGGAAGAGGGATATTTTAAAACATCTGCTTTGGTGATAATTAGCATGTGTAGGTGCCTGGAAGGTAGAGGATACATTAAAAATGTGTGCACCATGTGGAAAGAGGGGTGCCAAGCCAAAGATGCACATGAAAATGTGTGATGCTGGAAGCATGGTGTCAGGAGGGCTGAAGCTGGGGAAGGAGCTGGGGTTTGCAAAAGCATCCCAACGCAAATCAGAGTCCAATGAAATCAAATATAGCCACCCCACCCCCTAACAAAAAGAACTCAGAAAGAACAACAGAAAGAAATCTTTTTGGCAGTGGGAGCAAAAAGAATAAAAGAATAAGCCCGCTGTTGAGTAGGAAGCCCTCTCCCAGAGCAAACAGGTGTGTGTTCTATGAGCTTCTGAGTTTCCTTCAAGGGGAATGTGCTTCAGACAGCGAGGCCCTGGAAGGATGTGGTCAGTGTGCGGCTTTCAGATAAACTCAGGGACTGAGGTGTCCAGGCCCAGGTGATGACTACAGAGCACTGAGGGGAAATCAGTTTGCATGTGTGAGGTGGGGGTGAGAGAACTGGTCAGCCACGACTGAAAAGTCATGGAGGATGGCAGAGGTGTCAGAGGGTGGGAGGAGAGTTCTGACTTGATTTCAAAAAAAAGAGAATTCTGACACAGAAGACCAAGATTGCTGATCCCCTGCCAAATTTTGGAACAGTTTCTCACAAGGTGTGTGAGCTCTTAGAAGTAGAAAAAGGTTTGCTTATTAGGGAAATATATGGGTTCGTAAAAATAATTCATTTCTTTCTTTTAAGTTAGAAGTTGGACAGTTGAGGAAATTCTGAAGATAAACCTTACTTGCTTAAAAGGCATTTCATATCTTTAATATTTTTGTGAATAAGATGGAAAAATATGGGAAATATATTTTATATATAGCAATTATATCATTAATTAAAAATTATATTAAATATTATATTTATTATATTAATATATCACAATATATTACATATATTAAAATATTATATAACCAATATATTGTATTAGTATATGACTACTGACATAGACTAAATGTTTGTGTCTCCTCCAGATTCATGTGTGGAAATCTAACCTCCACTGTGATGGTATTTGGAGGGGGGGGGCTTGGGGAGATGATTCGGTCATGAGGATGGAGCCCTCATCATTGGGACTGATGCCCTTACAAAAGAGATCCTAGAGAGCTGCCTTGCATGTTCTGCCATGTGAGACCACAATGAGAACGCAACTTTGTGAACTAGCATTCAGGTCCTTACCAGACACCGAATCCACCAATGCCTTCATCCTGGACTTCCCAGCCTCCAGAACTATGAGGAATAAATGTTTGTTGTTTAAGCCACCCAGGATGGTATTTTGTTATAGCAGCCTAGACAAACTAAGACATAAATATTATCATATAATACATATATAATATGATATGATATTTCATTATGTTATTGATAACAGGATTAAATTAACACATAATGTAATATTACATTTTCATGTAAAAAATTAAAACTAAATAAGGTGAAAAATATATATTAAATAACTAAAGAACAACTTAGTGGATTAGTGTCAGCCAGAGGAAGTAAAATGTACAGGGTAGGATTTTACAGAATTATCTGGGGAGCTAATTAGAAGTGCAAATCCCATCCACCCAGACCTCTTGTCACCAGGGGCAAGGCCTGGGAATCACCATTTTAAACAGATCTCCAGATGATTCTCAAGCACATTCACAGGTCTGTGCCTTTAGACCTGATGTTCCCCCTGAGTTTTGTACTTGTATATCCCACAACTTCCTCAACATGTCCACTTGGATGTCTACCAGTCTGACACATAGCTCGCCCCAAATAGAGTTCTTTATCCTCCCCAACCTCCTCTTCTTTCTGTAAATGGTACCGTCATCCATCAATATGTCTGGCCAAAATCTTGAAGGGATTCCTCTTTACCAAAAATCCTGTATTGGCTTTACCTCTGAAGGAAATCTTGCTTCCGCCACTTCTCATGATTGCCCCCCCACCCCCTGCCCCAAGCCTAATGTAAATCACCATCTCATCTCTGGGCTTCTGCTAACTTCTACTATTACCACCCCAGTCTCCCTGCCTCCACCCTTGCCTGCTATTCCTTCTCCTTAGAACAGCTTGTTTAATCTTTAATCTTTATTACCTTTCAACAGCATCTTATTGCATGGACAACAGATGCCGAATTCCTCACGTTGGCCTCCAAAACCTCAATCTGGTTTTTGACTACCTCAGTTCACGACTCAGTCTCTGACTCTCTAGGTGCCAGCTGCCCTGCTTTCTTTCTCATCCTGTGAGCACACCCAGCTTGTTTCTGCCTCAGGACCTCTGCACGTGACAGTCTGTTTCATTGTTCAGGCTTCACCTTATGGGTCATCTCCTCAGAGAAGACTTCTTGACAACCCCAATTCACTCTCTACTTCATTACTCTTAATTAGAAGTGCAAATCCCATCCACCCAGACCTCTTGTCACCAGGGGCAAGGCCTGGGAATCACCATTTTAAACAGATCTCCAGATGATTCTCAAGCACATTCACAGGTCTGTGCCTTTAGACCTGATGTTCCCCCTGAGTTTTGTACTTGTATATCCCACAACTTCCTCAACATGTCCACTTGGATGTCTACCAGTCTGACACATAGCTCGCCCCAAATAGAGTTCTTTATCCTCCCCAACCTCCTCTTCTTTCTGTAAATGGTACCGTCATCCATCAATATGTCTGGCCAAAATCTTGAAGGGATTCCTCTTTACCAAAAATCCTGTATTGGCTTTACCTCTGAAGGAAATCTTGCTTCCGCCACTTCTCATGATTGCCCCCCCACCCCCTGCCCCAAGCCTAATGTAAATCACCATCTCATCTCTGGGCTTCTGCTAACTTCTACTATTACCACCCCAGTCTCCCTGCCTCCACCCTTGCCTGCTATTCCTTCTCCTTAGAACAGCTTGTTTAATCTTTAATCTTTATTACCTTTCAACAGCATCTTATTGCATGGACAACAGATGCCGAATTCCTCACGTTGGCCTCCAAAACCTCAATCTGGTTTTTGACTACCTCAGTTCACGACTCAGTCTCTGACTCTCTAGGTGCCAGCTGCCCTGCTTTCTTTCTCATCCTGTGAGCACACCCAGCTTGTTTCTGCCTCAGGACCTCTGCACATGACAGTCTGTTTCATTGTTCAGGCTTCACCTTATGGGTCATCTCCTCAGAGAAGACTTCTTGACAACCCCAATTCACTCTCTACTTCATTACTCTTTGATTTTACCACCTAAAATTCTTTATTATCTATTTATTTGCATGGTTGTTGTCTGACTCCCTGACAGAATATAAACCCCATGAATGGGAAATTTATGCCTAGAATGTTGTTTAGCACATGGTAGGTAGTCAATAAATATTTATTGATGAATGAACCACTGATACAACAGGCAAGGCTGGACTTTACAATTATCCCTGGATATAAATCTCTACTGCATGTCCAGCTTCCAGCCCAATACCCCTGAGCCTTGTATAAAAATCTGGCTCCTGTGAGATTCTTGCTGTTCTTTGTGCATGTGAGTCTGCATGTGTGCTTAGCCATGTCAGACTCTTTGTGACCCCCTGGACCGTAGGCCCCAGGCTCCTCGGTCCATGGCATTTTCTAGGTAAGAATACTGGAATGAACTGCCATTGTCTACTCCAGCTGCTGTCCTTCACTCATTATCTAATTCCCTCTCTCCCCACACCATACAGCACATGTACAGAGCACTACCTGCTTCATAGCTTCTTCCTCTCCCCAAGGAATAGCATGGCCCTGAGGATCGTCATTGTTAACATGGTTGAAATAGGCAGTATCATGCATACTTGCTCTGTCGCTTCAGTCGTGTCCTACTCTTTGCAACCCCATGAACTGTATAGCCCACCAGGCTCCTCTGACCATGGAATTCTCCAGGCAAGCATACTGGATTGGGTTGCCATTTCCTTCTTCAGGGGATCTTCCTGACCCAGGAATTAAGCCTGGGTCTCCCGCGTTGCAGGCAGATTCTTTACCGTTGGAGCCAACAGGGAAGCCCTCATAACACCGTAGTTCTCAACAGTGGCTGAGTGTTAGAATCATCAAGGAAACTTTAAAACAGTCCCAGGGCTGAGGTACCTAGAAAGAGGTAGAATGGAAACAGTAGAATGGAAGTTGCCAGGGGCTGGGGGTAGGGGGGAATTGGGAGTTAGTGTTTATGAGTCTTGAGTTCAGCTGGGGAAAGGAAGACATTCTGGAGATGGATGGTCATGATGGTTGCACAACAATGTGAATGCACTTAACACCACTGAACTGTACATTTAAAATGGCTAAAGTGAAAAGTTTTATGTTATATATTTTTTACAATTAAAAATAACAAAATAACAAAAAATAACAGTGTCCAGGCCTGTCAGCCTTTCAGGGGATAGGACTTGGGTGTCCATATTGTTTTAAAAACTCCCTAGGTAATGAAGCCAGGCTTCACAGCTGCTGCCTTCCTTACCCATTCCCTATCTTCGTGACTCCAACCACTGACATCCATCCTCCATTTCAGCAGCTCCCTCCCAGGACCACACCTGGAGTCACTGGAGAGATGCCAGGAGGGGTCATTTGAACTCAGCTTCGTCCTACGGTCCTATGGCCACTTGTTTGTGTCACCATCCGGCTCCTCTTGTACACTGACAGCCCCTGTCTTTCTGTCCATCCACCCTCCCAGGAAGTGTTTACTGAGCACCTGCCTTTGCTGTGCTCTGGGCTAACAGTGAGAAGACAATCCATGGAATTCTCCAGGCAAGCATACTGGATTGGGTTGCCATTTCCTTCTTCAGGGGATCTTCCTGACCCAGGAATTAAGCCTGGGTCTCCCGCGTTGCAGGCAGATTCTTTACCGTTGGAGCCAACAGGGAAGCCCTCATAACACCGTAGTTCTCAACAGTGGCTGAGTGTTAGAATCATCAAGGAAACTTTAAAACAGTCCCAGGGCTGAGGTACCTAGAAAGAGGTAGAATGGAAACAGTAGAATGGAAGTTGCCAGGGGCTGGGGGTAGGGGGGAATTGGGAGTTAGTGTTTATGAGTCTTGAGTTCAGCTGGGGAAAGGAAGACATTCTGGAGATGGATGGTCATGATGGTTGCACAACAATGTGAATGCACTTAACACCACTGAACTGTACATTTAAAATGGCTAAAGTGAAAAGTTTTATGTTATATATTTTTTACAATTAAAAATAACAAAATAACAAAAAATAACAGTGTCCAGGCCTGTCAGCCTTTCAGGGGATAGGACTTGGGTGTCCATATTGTTTTAAAAACTCCCTAGGTGATGAAGCCAGGCTTCACAGCTGCTGCCTTCCTTACCCATTCCCTATCTTCGTGACTCCAGCCACTGACATCCATCCTCCATTTCAGCAGCTCCCTCCCAGGACCACACTTGGAGTCATTGGAGAGATGCCAGGAGGGGTCATTTGAACTCAGCTTCGTCCTACGGTCCTATGGCCACTTGTTTGTGTCACCATCCGGCTCCTCTTGTACACTGACAGCCCCTGTCTTTCTGTCCATCCACCCTCCCAGGAAGTGTTTACTGAGCACCTGCCTTTGCTGTGCTCTGGGCTAACAGTGAGAAGACAAGGAGAAAAATACCTGTAATTCTTTAGATTCTGCTCCCTAATATCTCTGGACTTAAAAAAAAAAAAACACACCTGACTCCATTTTCATTGCTTTGGCCCTCATGTAGGCCTTTGCTCCCAATTTATGCAGTTTCCTCTCTGCTCTCCAAATTCCTCTCCCTGTGAAAACCATTTCTATTTAAAGCGCACAGCTTTTCATGGCACTCCTTTTCCTATAAATTTTGATTATAACATCTTTAAGGTTTAACTTCTAATTTTCTCTCGACTTTTTTTAAAAATTTGAGTAGGCAAATATAAAGGACTTTCTAAAAATTTTTTTATTGTAAAAAGTAGATGTAAGTCTTCCCAGGTGACTCAAGTGGTAAAGAATCTGCCTGTCAATGCAGGGGACACAAGAGACCTGGGTTTGACTCCTCGGTAAGGAAGATCCCTTGGAGGAAGAAATGGAAAGCCACTCCAGTATTCTTGCCTGAAAAATTCAATGGACAGAGGAGCCTGGTGGGCTACAGTCCATGAGATCACAAAGAGCTGGACACGACTAAGGGGACACACACACACACATATATAAAATTTGCCATCTTAATAATTTTTAAGTATACAGTTAAGTGGCATTAAATATATTCACGTTGTTATAGAACCATCAGTACCATCCATCTCCAGAACTATTTCATTTTCCCCAACTGAGGCTCTGTACTGGTTAAATAGTAACTCTGTATTACCTCTTTGGGCT